GGCTTGTGGTCGGTGATGAGGTCGAAAGTCCTGCCGTAGAGGTATTCATGGAACCTCTTCACTCCAGCCACAAGTGCCAGTGCCTCCTTGTCGAGCTGGCTGTAATTCCGTTCCGTGGAGATAGTGTCCTGGAAAAGTAGGCGAGCGGTGCTTCTCTTCATCTGGAAAACGGTGACTAAGGACAGCCAATGCCAAAAGGTGAGGCGTCACAGGAAGGACCAGCGGCCTGGATTCACTGTACTGTACCAGCACACTGTCATGAAGGGAGAGCCTTGACCGCGTTGAAGGCGCCGTCTCCCGATGACCCCAGGCCCAAGGCGTCTTAGTGCTAAGGAGTCGGTGAAGAGGCTCAGCCACTGTGGCTTTGTGGGGCAGGAACATGTTATAAAAGTTCAGCAGCCCCAGGAACGCCTGCAACTCCATCTTGATCTTTGGGATGGGGGCCTGCTAGATAGCGCGGATCTTGGATGTGGTCGGGTGAAGGCCAGAGGTGTCAATATGATAGCCCAGGAAATCCACCTGTGGAACGGCGATCGGCACTTCTCCCTCTTTACCTTGAGCCCGGCCTCTTGGAACCTGGTCAACACAGCACGGAGGCGCTCGAACAGCTGCTGGTGTGAGTCTGCGGACACCAAGACATCATCAAAATATGGTACCACGCCCGGAAGCCCTTGTAGGAGACGCTCCATAAGGCTTTGGAAGATGCCAGGAGCCACACTCACCCAGAACTGCAAACGGCGGCAACGGAATGCCCCTCGGTGGGTGACGATCGTCTGGGCTTCAGCAGTGGCATAATCGATGGGCAGTTGTTGATAGGCTCGGGCAAGGTCCAGCTTAGCAAAGACCTTACCCTCACCTAAGGAATGCAGCAGGTGTTGAAGAACAGTGTGCTGCTGAAGTGCCTTGTTGATCGTGCACTTGTAGTCAGCGCAGATTCTCACCAACCCGTCTGGCTTGGACAGGCGTGACGATGGGGGTTTCCCACTTGGCGTGGTCAAACCGGCTCCAAAACTCCTTGGGCGATCAGCTTGTCCAGTTGTTTCTCCACCTTAGCCTTGAGAGCAAAGGGAACCCAGCGTTGCTTTAGCTTGATGGGGGTGACTTGTGGATCAAGGCTAAAGGAGATGGGCGTACCTGTATATTGCCCCAAAGTGCTGTCAAAAACCTCGGCAAAGTCTTTGACCAGACCCTCAGTCTCTGCGTTAGAGATGCAGTTGATGCCGGTGACTTCCAGGCCGAGGGCATCAAACCAGCCTAGCCCTAGGAGGCTTGGCCGCTGACCTTCGACCACCACCTGTCAGAGCAGGCCAGAAAATACCTTGAAAGCAACTGGAACCGGCCAACGCCTAACACGGGAATGTCGTTTCCCTGGTAGTCTCTCAGGTGTACACAGTGAGAGTCGAGTTGCCTTTTGGACACTCTGGGTACCAGTCTTTTGATGGTGCTCCAAGACACAATGGACAGGGCAGACCCGGTGTCGATCTCCATGTCACATGGAGCTCCTTCAATGAGCACCGTGACGTTCAGCTTGCGTCGCGTAGGCAAGTCGGTTTGGCCAATTGTGGTTCCAGATGGGCAGCAGCAGTTGGTGAGAGCGAAATAGCTTTCCTTGGCAGATTGGGGTGAAGACTTGGACTTGCGAGTCGGTGAAGGGGGGGTGCCTGACGGAGCCGATCGGCGGACCTTAGTGATGTGGCCCCTTCTGGAACACGTCTGACAGATGGCATCTCTGAATCAACACTTGGCACAGGAATGGTTGCCTCCGCAGCCAGCACATTTGGTTGGCCTTTGGACTTCTGTTGGAACTTCCTGTGTTCCCGCTTTGCCTGGTGTGCACATCATCATCTTCACTGGAGGATGCCTCATCACTGCTGGCCTCTTCGTGATGCACTGGAACTGGCTTCCTAGCAAGACGCGGGCTGCTGGCCCTGCGGATCTCCTGGGCGGAGCGTTCAGCAGCTTCCGAGGCCACAGCCTCCTCAATGGCTTTCTGCAGCGTGAGGTCTGGCTTGGCGAGGAGACGCCGTTGCAGATGGATGTCCCAGACCCCTCAGATGATTTGATCCATCAGGGCATCGTTTAAGTCTTGGAACTCACAATGCATTGCAGCCTGTCAGAGGGCGGTGGTGTAGTTGTTGATTGACTCCCCCTCTGCCTGGTTCCGGTGGTAGAACGCATGGCAGGCAGCAATCCTGGACGGCTTTGGTGCGTAGTGGTTTCAGAGCTTCTCTTGAATCGTGTCCCATGGTGTTGCCTGGACTGCTTCAGGCTCAACCAACGCTCGGGGCGTCTCGAACACCTCAAGCCCACAGAGACTGAGGAACAGGCCCGGCTTCTGTTCCTTTGATACTGCTGTCAGCTCGTTGGCTTGGAGGTAGCAGTCAAACAGAGCAAGGTAGGAGTTCCATGATTTAGAGGCTGGCAGAAACAGCAGTAGAGGCACAAGTGAAGCCATGATTCCGATGCTGGCGTGAAGGGCGATGGATGGAACACAGTGCTCTAGCCAGAACAGTCAGCTCTGAATTGGTTCTGTTCAGTGATTTCGCTCAGTGATTCAGCTCAGTTCAGAGGATGGCCGCATCTGGCTGTGCTCTGATGTCCATCGATCCCATCCTCGTCGCCACTGTTAGGTTGAGGGCGAACATATCAGACGACACAGCGATTCTTCCAAAGCAGCTCTTTATTTGTAAGCTGGAACAGAACTGAACTGAGCTCAGTCGGCCTGCTTATATAGAGCTCCAGAACAACCGTAGCTGTTGCAACTTTCTAAACCTATCCAATCACTGAACGTCACTTTCGATCCTTCATTTGCATAACTATCTACAGTATCCCGCTACATAGTAGGGCTGGGTGAGTCTGGGCCCCACTGAAGTGAAGGACATGAGGCAGGGAGTTGATAATGCAGGACAGAAAGCACAGAGTGTATGAGCTGAGGTTACGAGACGCAGAAGTGACGGGGGTGACTAGGGATGAAAGGGGGTGGACCTCTTCATTGGGAGCACCGCCATTTCTAGAAGACAGGTTTTTGTTCTCTCACTAGGATCATTAAAGTTTCTAACTGGTAAGAAGACTCCTTTTCCTTTGTTCTGCTTATCTACAGCCAAGGGGGAAGGAAGCCAATTCCCTGAAGCGTGACAGATGCTGATCCACAAGACAAGGGCAGCCCATCATTTTGGCAGTGAAGGGCAGAGTAAAAACTCAACAGATTCATCACAAACCTTGAACATTCCATATTCACACTTCCCCCATTTATCTAGCAACAACTTGCAACATCTTTTGTACATCAAGTATTTGTGACCTTCATTACTTTAATATATATGTGTATACAAATTTAAATACAAAAACCAGAACATCACATGGGTTCCATGTATTTAAAATTGATTCTGCCTTTATGAGTTTCTTGATGTGAATTAAATAGTGAAACTAGAGTTGAACGCTGCATACATATATATGGCTTTTCACCTGTGTGAATTCGTTCATGAATATTAAGGTCTCCACTACAACTGAAGCTCTTTCCACACTCCATACATTTAAATCGTTTCTGCCATGTGAGTTTGTTGATGTATTCTACGTTTTCCACTTTCACTGAAGTTATTTCCACATTTAGTGCATTGAAATGGTTTCTCCCCCATGTGAGTTCGTTGATGTATTCTAAGGGCTCCATTTTGACTGAAGCTCTTTCTACATTCAATACATTTAAATGGTTTCTCCCCCGTGTGAGTTCGTTGATGTGTTCTGAGGTCTCCACTACGACTGAAGATTTTTCCACATTCAATGCATTTAAATGGTTTCTCCCCAGTGTGAGTACGTTGATGTATTCTAAGGTATCCACTACGACTGAAGATTTTTCCACATTCAATGCATTTAATTGGTTTTTCCCCAGTGTGAGTACGTTGATGTATTCTAAGGTCTCCACTTTGACTGAAGATTTTTCCACATTCAATGCATTTAAATGGTTTCTCCCCCGTGTGAGTTCGTTGATGTCTTCTGAGGTCTCCACTACGACTGAAGATTTTTCCACATTCAATGCATTTAAATGGTTTCTCCCCCGTGTGAGTTCGTTGATGTGTTCTGAGGTCTCCACTACGACTGAAGATTTTTCCACATTCAATGCATTTAAATGGTTTCTCCCCAGTGTGAGTTCGTTGATGTGTTCTAAGGTTTCCACTTTGACTGAATCTCTTTCCACATTCAGTGCATTGAAATGGTTTCTCCCCCGTGTGAGTTCGTTGATGTATTCTAAGGTCTCTACTACGACTGAAGATTTTTCCACATTCAATGCATTTAAATGGTTTCTCCCCCGTGTGAGTTCGTTGATGTGTTCTGAGGTGTCCACTATGACTAAAGAGTTTTCCACATTCAATGCATTTAAATGGTTTCTCCCCCGTGTGAGTTCGTTGATGTGTTCTGAGGTGTCCACTATGACTAAAGAGTTTTCCACATTCAATGCATTTAAATGGTTTTTCCCCAGTGTGAGTTCGTTGATGTGTTCTAAGGTTTCCACTACAACTGAAGCTCTTTCCACATTCAGTGCATTGAAATGGTTTCTCCCCCGTGTGAGTTCGTTGATGTCTTCTAAGGGCTCCACTACAAGGGAAGCTCTTTCCACATTCAATGCATTCAATGCATTCAAATGGTTTCTCCCCTGTGTGAGTTCGTTGATGTATTCTAAGGACTCCACTACGACTGAAGCTCTTTCCACATTCAATGCATTCAAATGGTTTCTCCCCTGTGTGAGTTCGTTGATGTGTTCTAAGGATTCCACTACGACTGAAGCTCTTTCCACATTCAATACATTTAAATGGTTTCTCCCCCGTGTGAGTTCGTTGATGTGTTCTAAGATTGCCACTATGACTGAAGCTCTTTCCACATTCAATGCATTGAAATGGATTCTCTCCTGTGTGAGTTTGTTGGTGTATCCTCATTCTTCCACAGTGACTAAAGCACATTCCACATTCCCTGCATTTAAACTGTTTCTTTGTTCTTCCCAATGAATTCACAGATGGCTCCGTAGAATTCTGACCATCGTCTTCCTCACCTGTTTGGGAGTGGGGGCGGGGGAGAGAGAATCCTGTTAGACTTGAAAGGAACTGAACACACGTCGATTCCCATGTGCACCTTCTCTTATTTTAACACCCTCTCCATTCTCAACTGTCCTCTCCATGTCCCAAATTTTTAGGAATGCAGATGAGATAATGGCAAGAGAAACCCATGATCACTCCATTCACACTTAAGAAAGCACCATCATTTTATAATAAAGATCTACGGTGGAACTGTCTTATGAGAAACATCTGTCTTTTTCTTTTTCAAGTGAGGAAAGGATCACAGGCTCCAATAGCAGTCTCCCCTATGAGTAAGAAGTAAAACTGAACTGTTCTTATGTAACATGTAAGTGTAAAAATATTACAACATATTAGAACCTAAACAGAGCCTGCTGCATTGGGTAAAGGCCCACCTAGTCCAGCATCCTGTTTTCACAGTGGCCAAGCAAATGCCCGGGGGAAACCAGCAAGCAAGATTTCAGCCCAAAAGCCCTCTGCTCTCCTGTGCTTTCCAGAAACTAGTATTAAGAAGCATTATTGCCTAGGACCGCAAGCGCAGAGCACAGACACCAGCCTAATCCCTTTTCCCCCCAAGATATCAAACTTGCTGGCAGTCACTGTTTCCAGTAGGATAGAAGTCCATAGATTAACTATGCTTCTGTTTATTCATCTTCTGCAGCTCTGAAAGGCACATAAATGTATTATGGCTTAAGCTTTTGTGGGCTGCAGTCTGACAAAGGGGACTCTTGATTAGGAAAGCTGGTGCCACTTGGTCTTCATATGCCCAATCCTATGTGTAGAGCCTCCAGCCACATGAATTGTGTATCATGATAACAGGTCCTTTGTCCCGAAAGCCCACGAAACTGGGGAGGTGCATACATCTACTGTATTTTTCTGCTGGTGGAATGTATCACTCTGATCCAGTCTTTAAAAAAATAAAAGTAATATAAACTATTTAAATATATGAAGAATACATAATGACGGGAAGCATTACCATAGCCCCCTTCACCCATTTTCCTGGATTGGTGTGCAACATCATTTTCGTCACTTAATCCTGCAGTGGAAATAACACCAGAGATTTAAAAGCACAGAGAAAGAAAATCTGCCCCCACTACTTTATGAAAGGGATTCCAAAAACAAAGAGCTGCTTTGAAAAAGGCCTCACCCCTCCCTCCCTCCTTCCTTTCTTCCTGCCTGGCCCTTCCTGCCTTTGGTCTCCTCTCCATCTTTTCCTCTTTCTCCCTCCACCATCCAGCCATCCATGTCCCCATCTCCTCTCCCCTGGAACTCAACAGATTTCTCCGAGGGCCCTGGGAGGGGATGATCAGAGGTTGCAGGGAGGGATGCGGGAGACAGCTTGAGCAGGTCAGCTGTCCATATTCCTCTGTCCATCCTGACCAGGTTTGCAGGTTCAACATCTTGAGAAGCAAATAAGCCAAGGCAAGTTGTAGCTTCCTGGGAGGAAGGAAGAAGTCAAGGGAGTCTCAGAGCCCCTGCAGGGATTTTTTTGACCCTGTAGAATCCCCTATTGGGCACCTGCTTCCCAAGAGCCTCCACCCATTTTCAAACACCTTTGGCAATTCCTTCCATCTGCCTGTCCCTTCTCCCTTCCTAAGGCTGGCATGGTATGGGCAGTAGTGGCCTTGTGGCAGTTGCCCAAAGGGCCACAATAAATGTGATAACGTCTACCCCTTTAAATCCTTGAGTGTGCTTCTAATACAGAAGTTATGGTAGCCTGTGCTTTATGAAACTGATTATTTTGCAAGTTGCCGCCCCCCAATAGGGGCAGAAATACAGCTAATATGAGCATCACAAAGATACAGCTGAAAGCTGGAACATGAGTTGCTATATGATGCAAATGGCTGCATGTAACACAGGTTCCCAACATGCACACCAACACAACGTAACAGAACGTGGTAGGCATCAGAACATATTCAGCAGAAATTGCCAGCGCTCGTTGCGCGTGTGTATTATAATAAAAGGAGGTAATGATGAATATCAGGAACGTGCAACTGCAAAGGGACTTTTTTAAGGAGGCGGGGGATGCAATAAAAATTTAATTCTTTTTGCAACAACAAACATTAAAACAAGCAAAAACAGAAATAGGAGCATATGCAGAAGTTCTTGCGGAAAGGGGGCGCGGCCTTCAAAGGTCTCACAATCGACCCAAAACAACACAGAGGTCTACCTGTCAATTGCGGTCCAGCGCTTGGACATCTCTGATGTATATGATTGGTTGAAATAGAAATGCTTTGTTTGAAATTATATAAATACCAATGCCTGGACCACATATGTGGTGGAGTTGTGAGGAAATTAATAAATTTTGGATAGTAGTACACAAAGAACTAAAGAAGATGTTGAAAATATCAATAACAAAGAAACCAGAGACATATCTCCTTGAATTGACAGATGATGAGATACCACGGGGGGGGGGGGGAGAGAGAATTTTTCCGTAGGCAAGTACAGCTGCTAGAATAGTGATTGCTGCTAGGTGGAAGTCAAAAACTATACCCACAAAGGAGGAATGGATTTGTAAACTAAATGAATATTTAATTCTGGCAAAATTAACTGCGATAATAAGAAATCAGTCGAATCAAAAATTTAAAAAGGAGTGGAAATGTTTTGATGAATATATGGCAAAATATTGCTCAAAAAAAGATATGCTAATATGCCTAGATTAAAATGTGAAGTACTGGATGGAAGAAAAAATTAGTAAGGAAAGACAATAAGAATATGTAGATGATTTGATAATCTGACACATCAGGATCTGTACCAAGTAATATTTAATGACCGTGTCCTTCATGGATCACTGCCTTCTCATGGCAAAGGGGCTTGAATAACTCAGAGACACTATGAGCTATGCCGTGCAGGGCCACCCAAGACAGACAAGTCAAAGTGGAGAGTTTTGACTAAACGTGATCCACCTGGAGCAGGAACCAGCAAGCCACGCCAGTATCCCTGCCGAGAAGACTCCATGGTCGTATAAAAGTTATGACACTGGAAGATGAACCCCTCAGGTAGGAAGGCATCCAACATGCTACTGAGGAAGAGCGGAGGACAAGTACAAATAGATCCAGAGCTGATGAAGCAGCTGGGCCAAAGCCGAAAGGTCGCTCAGTTGCGGATGTGCCTGGAAGTGAAAGGAAAGTCCAGTGCTGCAAAGAAAAATATTGCATAGGAACCTGGAATGTAAGATTCATGAACCATGGTAAGCTGGATGTGGTCAAAAATGAAATGGCAAGAATAAGTATTGACATCCTGGGCATCAGTGAACTAAAATGGACCTGAATGGGTGAATTCAATTTGGATGATCATCATATCTACTACTGTGGACAAGATTCCCATAGAAGAAATGGAGTGGCCCTCATAGTCAACAAAAGAGTGGCAAAAGCTGTACTGGGATGCAATCTCAAAAATGATAGAATGATCTCTTTCAATATAATTTTTATTAACAAACCAATCAAATCACATTAATTCCAAATTACACAGCCAAATTTTTAAATTTTTGTTGGGGGTACCCATGCTTCGAGCTCAGAAAGGGATCCAAACATCTCTCTTGCTGCTGCTTTAATGATCACAGTTCTGTCCAAATGGTATTCACAGTTCTCAGTTCTATTCCATCTTCTCTTTATTATTTTCCTCATCTTCTTATTGTTGTCATATACTCCTTTCTTTGTGACCTCTGATAGTCTCCACAAGCGGGTTGAAAACAAACGTTATATCCTGTGTGGATTTTCCATTCCTCCAAGAGCCATATTCAATACAGACAGACGCCATTTCCACACTTCCGTACAAAACATTCTTAAAGCCTGTCCATTAATTCTCGCAGACCTGTCAGTCTCTCCTCAATCTTCTTAGGGGGTTCTGCCAGGTCAAACTCACAGTTCGATGTAATAACAAGCCATGGTCTGTTCCCCTCGATCATAAATCCTGTAGGCAGGCCTGCCCTAACAAATCTCTTTTTATAACTGCGCCACAAAGGCCTTTCATTCCTTTCCAATATTCCACAAGCCATGTCTTTGATTAGTAATTTATTTCCACACAGATCTTAATCATCCTGCTTGTAATCAGTAATTGCAACGATTCTTCTTGGGGGGAGGGTTGTTAGGTACTCACACGAGATAAAAAAAGAAAGGTTCCCCCCCCTTTCAGTCCCGTTCTGACATACCGACCCTTTGATGTATCTTCTTCTTGATATATTGTTGAATTCAGCCCATCGCTCTACTTCAGAGGTCACTTCAATTAGCAGTCTTAACTCCCGATTTTCACTCGAAATATGTGCATTTGCTTCTCTCTAATTGTTTATTTCGAGCTCCTGCAACCAGTTCGCGTGATCAGAGACAGCGTCCAGGAGAGCCGGCCCCCATGGGGGCTGTGCGCCTAATGATAGAATGATCTCGATACAAATGAAGGCAGACCTTTTAACATCACAGTAATCCAGGTTTATGCACCAACTACCAATGCTGAGGTACGCGGGTGGCGCTGTGGGTTAAATTACAGAGCCTAGGACTTGCCAATCAGAAGGTCGGCGCTTTGAATCCCCGCAACAGGGTGAGCTCCCGTTGTTCGGTCCCTGCTCCTGCCAAGCTAGCAGTTCGAAAGCACATCCTGCTTGGCAGGGGGTTGGACTCGATGGCCCTTGTGGTCTCTTCCAACTCTATGATTCTATGATTCTATGATCAAAGTGCAAGTAGATAAATAGGTACCGCTTCAGCGGGGAGGTAAATGGTGTTTCCATGCGCTGCTCTGGTTCGCCAGAAGCGGCTTAGTTATGCTGGCCACACGACTGTCTGCAGACAAATGCCAGCTCCCTCGGCCAGTAAAGCAAGATGAGTGCCCCAACCCCAGAGTCAGCCATGACTGGACCTAATGGTCAGGGGTCCCTTTACCTTACCAATGCTCAACAAAATGAACTTGACCAATTCTATGAAGACAAATCCAAGGCAGACCTTTTAACATCACAGTAATCCAGGTTTATGCACCAACTACTGGTGCTGAAGAAACTGAAATTGACCAATTCTATGAAGACTTACAACACCTTCTAGAAGTGACACCAAAGAAGGATGTTCTTCTCATCATAGGGGATTGGAATGCTAAAGCAGGGAGTCAACGAGATAAAAGGAACAACTGGCAAGTTTGGCCTTGGAGTTCAAAACGAAGCAGTGCAAAGGCTAATAGAGTTCTCTCAAGAGAACAAGCTGATCATAACAAACACTCTTTTCCAACAACACATGAGATGACTCTACACATGCACATCACCAGATGGGCAGCATTGAAATCAGATTACTTATATTCTTTGCAGCCAAAGATGGAGAAGCTCTATACAGCAAAAACAAGACCTGGAGCTGACTGTGGCTCAGAGCATCAGCTTCTTATAGCAAAATTCAAGCTTTAACTGAAGAAAGTAGGGAAAGCCACTGGTCCAGTAAGATACAATCGAAATCAAATCCCTTATGAATACACAGTGGAAGAGATTTAAGGATTTAGATTTGGTGGACAGAGTGCCTGAAGAACTATGGATGGAGGCTTGGAACATCATACAGGAGGCAGCAATGAAAATCATCCCAATGAAAAGGAAATGCAAGACAGCAAAGTGGTTGTCCAATGAGGCCTTACAAACCACAGGTGACAGAAGGCAAGCAAAATGCAAGGGAGATAGTTAAAGATACAGGAAACTGAATGCAGACTTGTAACAAATAGCAAGGAGAGACAAGAGGGACTTCTTAAACGAGCAGTGCCAACAATAGAGGGAAACAATAGAATGGGGAAAAACCAGAGATCTGTTCAAGAAAATTGGAGATATGAAAGGAACATTTTATGCAAAGATTACCATAATAAAGGACAAAAGTGGTAAGGACCTAACAGAAGCAGAAGACATCAAGAAGAGGTGGCAAGAATACACAGAGGAATTATACCAGAAAGATATGGATGTCCCATACACCCCAGGTAGTGTGACTGATGACCTTGAGCCAGACATCCTGGAGAGTGAAGTCAAATGGGCCTTAGAAAGCACTGCTAATAACAAGGCCAGTGGAAGTGATGACGTTCCAGCGGAACTATTTAAAAACTTAAAAGATGATACTGTTAAGGTACTACACTCAATATGCCAGCAAGTTTGGAAAACTCAGCAGTGGCCAGAGGATTGGAGAAGATCAGTCTACAACGCAATCCCAAAGAAGGGCAGTGCCAAAGAATGCTCCAACTACCGCACAATTGCGCTCATTTCACACACTAGCAAGGTTATGCTTAAAATTCTACAAGGCAAGCTTAAGCAGTATGCGTACCGAGAACTCCCAGAAGTACAATCTGGATTTTGGAGGGGCAGAGGAACCAGAGACCAAATTGCAAACATGCACTGTATTAGGGAGAAAGCTAGAGAGTTCCAGAAAGACATCTACTTCTGCTTCATTGACTACGCAAAAGCCTTCGACTGTGTGGACCACAGCAAACTATGGCAAATTCTTAAAGAAATGGGAGTGCCTGACCACCTCATCTGTCTCCTGAGAAATCTCTATGTGGGACAAGAAGCAACAGTTAGAACTGGATATGGAACAACTGATTGGCTCAAAATTGGGAAAGGAGTACGACAAGGCTGTATATTGTCTCCTTGCTTATTTAACTTATATGCAGAGGACGAGATGGTTGCACAGTGCTCTCAAAGCTACTAACACGAGTTTGACCAAACTACAGGAGGCAGTGGAAAACAGGAGTACCTGGCGTGCTCTGGTCCATTGGTTAACAAAGAGTCAGACACGACTAAGTGACTAAACAACAACAACGATGTCCAATCAGCATTCCCTAATGTAGAAGCAATTCTGACAATGTTTCTTTGAATGATGATTGCAAATTGCCATTTGTAAAGATCCGTTTCTCAGCTGAAGAGGATAAAAAATGAATTTGAACAACAATGTCTCAAGATAAATTATGTTACTTCAGCCTCATGTACATAGATAGTGACAAGCTAAGCAGTTTATCATTTGATGATATCATCAATGACTTTGCTTTGGCAAGGCAAGAAGGAAAGTATTGTAATTTAGATCATGTTTGTGTACTGTTTGTATACACAGTACACAATGAATAATGATAAAATTTTACAGTTGAATGGGTATTGGGTAGATGCAGTAATACAATTAGTCCTGTAAAATAATTTTATGTACAGGTGTGTATAGTATTGGTATTATTTATAAATGCAACATATTACTAGAAATACTGTGTTTTACACTCACTAAGTGTAACAGGGTACAAAGGTCTGCTATCCCAATGAAGAATGTGGACTATTATGGTAATATTGATACTGATATAAAAAATGCATTGTATTAACTACAATTGCATTGTACAGGTTATAACACTTAATTTCATATTAATAATGCTATTTATAATTATTAGTAATTTGCATCAGATATTTACACCTATTATTATAGCAAGTTTCTAGGACTAGATTAGGAGTCTTTGTAAATTGTGTTTCTAAAGGAACTTTTGTTATTGCCAAATGCCAATGTGTTTGCATTAAGTTTGTTATGAATAACAAAATCATTTTAAGTTAGAGCTTAATAATTATTTCACTATTAATATTCTTAGTAATTGTATTTCAGCTCAACAATTACTTTGAGAAAATACATACTCTACTATGTGCAAATGGTTTAGATACCTATTAGGTCCATAAATTACCATATAGCATATATTCAACACAAAAAACAGCAACAATTTGTTGTTGACAAAAGACAGCTACCTCCAGTACCTTAGGGCCTCATCAAACCTCAATCCGGCCCTGCCCCCACTACTTTATGCAAGGAGTTCAAGAACAAAGAGCTCTTTGGAGAAGGCCTCAGCCCTTCCTTCTTCCTGCCAGGACCCCCCTGGCTTTGTTTTCCTCCCCATCTTTTCCTCTTTCTCCCTCTGCCATCCAGCAATCCATGTCCCCATCTCCTCTACAAAACGGAAGACTTGGATGTTTGGATGCTTTTGGTTTTTCTTATTTTGTTGGAAGCCGCCCAGAGTGGCTGGGGAATCCCAGAAAATGGGGGCGGGGTATAAATAGCATTTATTTATATTATTATTATTATTATTATTATTATTATTATTATTATTATTATTATTATTACTACTACTACTATGGCGAGGCTGGTCTGCAATACCCAGCCCTCTCCCCTTTCCCGCCTAATTCCCTGCAACTTCCTTTGCACCAGATCCGGGCAGGAGGAAGCTTCTCTCTTTCCACAACGGAACACACACCCCTCCACCTTCAAGACCCCGTTAAAAAGACCAGCTCCCTTTCCTCCCTTCTCTTCTTCTCCCCGTCCCGGGGCTTCTCATCCTGGACCCCCCACCCCTTGCCAAGCCCCTTCCCTCCTTCCCCGCCGCTGGCTTTGCACTCACCCGAAATCCTGGCGATGGTGGCAGCGACCCTGAGCAGCGGGGGCGGGAATGGGAGCCCCCGCCAGGGAGGCAGGATATTTCCGGGGGCGGGATAATTGCAGGACCCAGCCAATGGGGAGGGAAGGGAGGGAACCTGGGCTTCGAATATAGGGAACAGATGCTCGTTGCCTTAAGGGTTAAAGCCAGAGAGTGCAAGCTGCCATAGAGAGAGAGAAAGAGAAGGTGGGGCTGTTCCATACTGACCTGGGAAAGGGGGCCCGGCTTAAGTGGAACAGCTGACCCGCCCTCTCTGCTGTCCTGCACTGCCCTTGTCCTGCAAGGAATCCGCTGAGTGCAAAGCGCCTTGGGGTGCAGCAAGCTTTGGGGTGTGTGTGCAATGCAATGCAATAACCATGGAACTGGGGTTGGGGGTGGAGAGAGAGCAGGCAGGGAAGCAGTGGTTCAAGTGTGGGGGTATTGCAGCTGATTCAGCCTCTTTGCAAAGAAGAGGTTCTCTCTCTCTCTCTCTCTCTCTCTCTCACACACACACACACACACACACACACACCCCACACGAAGAGCCCTGTAGTTTGATCTAGCCATCTAGTCCTGCACCCTGTTAGAATCATAGAATCGTTGAGATGGAAGGGGACCCTGAGAGTCATCTAGTCCAACCCCCTGCAATGCAGGAATCTCAGCACTGTCTCCTCACGGTGGCCAAGCCTGCAAGGAGGATGGGAGCTCCAGAGCATCTCTCCCCTCCAGCGGCTTCCGGGAACTGCTATTCAATTAAGCATAATAATAATAATATTATAACAACAACATTATTTATACCCGCTCATCTGGCTGGGTTTCCCCAGCCACTAGGGCAGCTCCCAACAGATTATTTTTTAAAAACCAATGAAACATCAAACATTAAAAGCTTCTCCATACAGGGGTGCCTTCAGTTGTCTTATAAAAGTCAGATAGATAATTATTTCCTTGACATCTGACGGGAGAGCGTTCCACAGAGCAGGTGCCGCTACCAAGAAGGCTCTCTGCCTGGTTCCCTGTCTTTGAGTTGATATAGAGCATCCGTCCTAAATTTGTCAGCTTCTCTCAAAGAAGCAGATTCAGGAAGTTTTTAATGTTTGATGTCTTACTATGTTTTTATATTTTGCTGGAAGCTGCCCCAATTGGCTGGGGAATAATGATGATGATACCACTTGTTCAATCTGAAAATTTCTTTTACCAGTGCATTTGGGAGCATCAGAATAACTTGAGGTAATATATTCATACAAAATCTTTGCTCCCGATTCATTGTTTGCAATCCCACTGGGATTGATCTGAGTCCTGGGATAGTTCAGCTGGTAGAGCATGAGTTTCTTGAGGTTGTGGGTTCGAGCCCCACCTTTTCAAAAAGATTCCTGCATTGCAGGGGGTTCGGCTAGAACATCCTCTTGGTCCCTTCCAACTGTTTCATTCTGTGGTCTATGAACCTCACTTATTCGCAATGAGGGAACCACCACAATTTTTTTTAAAGCAAAATGTTGTTAGAAGTTCTGCAACCCACCTTTGCCTAATAGGAGTTTGCCTTTGTAAAACTGGAGAGTGAAAGGAGAAGGAATCTCAGGGTGGGCTTTTTTGTGGGGGATATGGCTTTTCTGGTCAGTGGGCAGAAGGAGCTTGGGGCTATCCCTAGCTAGAGATCTGCCATCCCCTTGTATTGGTCCAGATTTGGGTCTCTACCTCCCAGGAGTTTAGACGCACACAGTTGCCACATATTGACTGCAGCAAGCGATGGATCCCTTGCATGTGTAAACAACCATTGGGGGTCACTCTGAAACAACACAGAGATTGGGAAAGGACTGGCAGAATCCGAGACCAGGGAGAGGAGACGGTGGAAGAAGATTGGAAAAAGTTTAAAGACTATTTATAGAAATAATGTAATATTAATGAGTGTTAGAAAATGTTGGAATGAAGTTATACGGCTTTAGTAGAAATGTTATAAGGAATTAAGTATAAATAGATTATTAGAGTATTAAAGGGAAAATAAGGTTAAAATATGTTAAGATAAATTATGACAGAAAATAGAGGAAGATGGAAAGGATTTGCTGAAACAATTAATAGAAGTGGAATACAAAAAGGGAGGTGTGAGCAGGTCGTTGAAACAAGTTAATGAAAGATAAGATATTGAAATGGTAAGATGTGTGTTTTTAAATTGGTTTTGTTTAGCTTATTGTATTAGTGTTGTGTTATGTAATGTTTATATATTGTATTGTATTGTTTTCTTTTTTCTTCTTTTCTCCTTCCTTTTTTTGTAGTGTTTAAAAATAATAAATATTATTTTAAAAAAAAGAGATTGGGCATTGCTTTGACGAATATCCTGCAACCAAAAACCACCTGGACACTCTGGTCTCTCCCACCGCCAATATAAACAAAATACCTGTTTACCTGACACTGACACAAAGGCTCACATGCTATAGAAATGAGTGTATAATGTGTTTTAAAATGCCCTTAAGCAGTTAGTGACATTTTAATTTTTTTCTCCCCCCCCTTTTTTTTGCTGTGTTGGGGGGGGTGGATATCTGGTTCAGGATTTTGTTTTTCTTTTTTGTTGTTTATTGGTTGTATAGTTTGTGTTTTGTTTTTAAGGGGCAGGATCAGGGCTGCATGGGAGTGGGCCCCAGCCAACAGAATGGCTGGTGCAAGTTCTATTCTGCACTGGGACATCTGATCTCAGTGATCATGGGCAGGAGGAGGAGTTACACTAAGACCAGACCATGTCATTACCAAGGAGGCAGGATTAATCATTGTTTGAAGACTATCCCTGCCTCTGGGTCTGGTCTTGACCGGATGGATACTGGAATCAACAAGGGAAACCCACATGACCTGAAGGTGTTGCTGGGCAGTTTAAAGCAATATCAGAATGCTATTAAAATCAGTTAAAATGATTTACATTCTTTATACAGAAAAAATGCAAGCTGGATCAAAACAGTATCCTGGCAACACACCTCCCCCCTGCCCAAAATCCAACATGAGGCAGAGTCCTGCGGGCATATATAGCAGGGCTCAGCAAAACGCAACCAGGGGCCTTGATTTATTTAAAAAACACTCTACTTTTCTGCTGCCATATCCTTCCTTTCTTCCATCATGAAACTCAAGGTGGTATACGTGTGGCCTCCTCCCAAGACCCAGGACTGCTTAGCCTAGGCAGCAATATGTCCTACAAGCCGACGTCATTCAGTCTTGGGTCCCTAGATGTTGTTGGACTACAACTCCCATCATCCCCGGGGCTCTTAGTCAACAAGGACCCAACTCTGATGAACTCGGTCTTAGGATGGAGCCTGCAAGTAAGTGTAGGAACCTCTGGCCCTCCAGATGTTGCTGAATTACAACCCCCATCGGGATCAGCAATCGTCATCTATGGCTGTGGATGAAGGAAGGGGGATGCTGCCATTGAGAAGAAGTTGAAGGCAAGGTACTCTCTCTATCTCCAGTGATAAGCACCAGAGCAGCCTGTCCAGTAAAGACATGGATGAAAATGCTGAGGCACTGAGTGCTTCTGATCCAAAACATTACCCTTTTCCAGCACACTCCATTGCTTTCCATCCCTCTCCAGTTTTCCATTCCTGCTGTCAACCAGCGCCCCACCCCCACAGCCAGTTTTCTCTATCCACAGACCATGTCCAGTTCTACTTGCGTGGCTTTGGCTATCTTTCCCCCCCACCTAAAAATTTATTGGACATACGTAACCAGTGGAGCTGCCTCAAGGTTACTGGTACCTCCCTCTCTTCCTTGGAGGAAGGGTTCCATTTTGGCCACATAAAGGCTGGCAGCTAGGAAATTGAATTGGCTATTTGTATACGGGATTTCCTCAGACAGGGTGGGGTCACAAAGAGAGGGTGGCTCTCGCCTTCATGTCCTGATTGCGAGTTTTGCAGAAATGCCTGGATAGCTGCTGTCGGAGCCAGAGAACTGATGGATGTCAGGCCGACCCTGCATTCTTATCCCTTGCCCTATGCCCTCCCCACAGTGATGGGAGGTGCGCCAGGAAATAAACATCACCTTTATTGATATACAGCGGCTCTGGAGCTTGAGAATGAACATGGGGTGGGGGGGGGTAGAGACGGGAGCAGAATGGGGGAGAGGAGAGAGCCATCCATCCCCTCTCAGTCTGTCCATCAGGGGAAGCTGCTAACATTCATCCTCCCCAAGCAAAGCAAACAAGTTCCGGCCAGCAAACTTTCCCTTCCTAGAAGGGCCAGGCTGGCTAGGCCCGCTCTTGGGCGCCGAGTGCGGTTCTTCTTCCTCCTCGCCTTCTTCGTCTGCATCCCGGTCTTTCTCGTCATCCTCTTCTTCTCCCGAGCTGGAGATTTCGTCTTCCTCCTCTTCCTCCTCCCCAGAGCTGCGCTTGCCATCATGGCGGTGGGCCTCTTGCAAAGCGGCAATCTCAGCTGTTTCAGGGTGGTGTTCCCACATGGCTGAAGGGGAGAGAGAGGAGACTGTCAGAATCACAGGAATTGCCAAGGGTCAAAGGTCACCCAGTGAAAGCCACTAAGGTGGTAAATTTCATATTCAAGTAAAACGGTGTGGGGGACTGTCTCCTGAAAGTCTCAATTTCAGATTCCACGACTGTATATAGACATTTTGTCCCAACACACATCACTTTACACTTGTTTACGCTGAACTGCATTTGCCGTTTTACCACCCATGTGCTCAGTTTGGAGAGGTCCGTTCGGAGCACTTCATAAATCTTTGATGGTTTATTATTATTATTTTTAATAATTATTATTTTTATTTATTAATGCAACAAAAAAAGGAAAACACAAATAGAAAATTACACACAGGAATAACAATAAACACAATTTTTTTTAACAAACAATAAAATGTAAGTTGGTCTTAAGAAGAGTTTGGATTTGATATCCCACCTTTCACTCCCTTTAAGGAGTCTCAAAGCAGCTAACATTCTCCTTTCCCTTCCTCCCCCACAACAAACACTCTGTGAGGTGAGTGGGGCTGAGAGACTTCAGAGAAGTGTGACTGGCCCAAGGTCACCCAGCAGCTGCATGTGGAGGAGCGGAGACGCGAACCCGGTTCACCAGATTACGAGACTACCGCTCTTAACCACTACACCACACTGGCTCTCTTAACACTATAGACCCGACCTCCCGTCTATTCCTTATTTCAATTTTATATTACTTATTGCCAATACACACTTTTATCATAATTTAACTCATTCTTAATATACTTTAACTCTCATGTCTAACTTGCAACTATTACTGAAATTCCTCAAATGCTGCAACAGAATTTAAACTACTGTAATTATATTTCAAATATTCAAATATTCATAGAATCATAGAATCATAGAGTTGGAAGAGACCACAAGGGCCATCGAGTCCAATCCCCTGCCAAGCAGGAATTCTTTGAAAACCTCCCATTTTGAAACAAATTCCTGTTTTGGTTTATTCTTTATTTTTTCTGATAGACCATCTAATTCTGCATATTCTGTCCGCTTTTATATC